CCTCTTTTAAGCTACATTTAAGCTTAAAAACCCCAACAATCCCCCACATGAATGGGGAATGGCTATATCACGGAAATATGCATGAAAAACTGTGTGATTCGCAAGCAAGGATTAATTGCATCTGGATAAGTAGGTTTCCCTATGAACTTTCCGTAGTGAACTTATGTCGGATATACTCGGTCATTCGGTAGATTTGATATCTTTGAACCGTCGAACTTTGGTGTATATCTAGACAACCATAAGTTACACAACCAACCCTTAACCATCTTTGGCTTTCATTGTTGTGTTCGTTTCAGCCATGAACACCGCCTGGTTTCATAAGTGCTAGAGAATTGGCCTTACAAAATTTTTCTTGAAGCGGCTAACACTTCACACTTACATAGATGATTCCTCAACGTGTCATCCCGTAAATATACTATTTGATATACCCCGTATCAAATTTAAAAATTATTAAAAAGCCTTAATGCTTTATTCTTGGTACTGAACATTGTATCATCACGAGAATGGACCAAACTTTTAGTTGACAATGTTGAACCGTCATTAATGACTTTATTTGATCTCCTTGAACCTAAATCTTGGGATCTCCAGTCTTCTAGGTAGAGTTACCGCCACAATGAAGCCGAGCGAGCGACGCCGCCGACGCCGCGAGACTTGCCTTCTTCTTAACTCTTTAAGAGCTAGAAGAAGTGCAATTGTATATATACCCATCAAAACCTTTTCCTTTTCCAATATGGGACAATGTCCTTTTGTCAAGGAGGAAAACTCAAATATTTTCAATTTCCCTCCATTTCCCATTCACCCTCTTTTAAGCTACATTTAAGCTTAAAACCCCAACAAAAATTTGGGATCTTTTTTAAAAAAAATTATTTTCAATTATCTGTTTGTTTATATAGATTTTAACAATTTTTGGTAAATTTTAAAAATAAAATCTTTAAATTTCAAAAACTGTTCTAGAGTAGTTTTTGTTGTTTAAAGAAGTTTTCTACTCACAAAACTTCAAACTTTTTTCAAGCAAAATGCATGTCCAAACACAATTTCAACTTTCAAATATCATTTTTCATCTCATCATCAAAAACTAATTTTTTCAAGTTTCAACCAAATTTATATCCATATGCTAGCTTAATATTTAGTAGAATTTAATATATTGAGCAACTTCATCAACCATCACAGATTTATAGTATTATACTATTCGTTTTTACTCTTGGATATCTCCAATTTGAGAGTAATTGTATATATCTTAATAAAAACGTTAGTTAACTTTAGACCTTTTTTAAATAATTGTTCATCCAATTGACATTGGAATTCTATAGTAATTATAGATATAGTCAGACCTTTCTATAACAACTATTCACTATAAAAATCAAGTTTTCTTCAGAACCGATTTTTAAGTTATATTTTACCTCTCTATAACAGTTTTTACCAATAATAGCAGCAACCATATTTATGGCAGAACACTCTTTGTAAAATTACCCATCTATAACGGCCATGTGAAATCTTTAAGGTTATTACTGATAATTCTAAAGATATGCACGTAATCTTTTCCATTGAACAAAGTTTCTATTTTGCACAAGACATAAGATGTCAAGTTTTGCACATGATATATTTTTCATTGGACAAATGCCAACAAATATACAGATAGAAGATTTAACTTTAAGCTCTTAGATTGTCTTTAAGAGAAAGCAACTGGATACCTTTTTGCTAAAATTTAGACGCAAATCTTCGCCAAATCATGCGTTATATGAAAATTTATTTTAAAAGAATTTATTTTAAAAGTTCTTCCATTAATCTTAAAAGAATTTATTTTTCTAAGTAGCTTTAAAATATGCGCCTTAGAAGTTTAAATCTTTATACGTTTAGTTATGAATTTATTAATAATGTATTAGCTTTCTTCAATATTTAACAAGTGAAATATGCATATATCTTTTGAGATTTTAAATTTGAATAATTTTCTTATTTTTTATATGTAACATTGGAAAAGGAAAAAAAGTTGATTTTGGATAATTTTTATCTATAACGATCAAAAAATATTTAAACCTCAAATGCTATTACAAGTGTATAACAACCATTCACTATAAAAGTCAAAAAATATCGGAACAAACAAGGCTTTTATAAAGAGAGTGAGCTGCACAAAACCATTTGCTAACAACAAAGAGTATAGTAAAACCAAAAGTGAAATAGAAAATAAAGGTGAACAATTTCGAATATATATCTCCGGACCTTTCCTTTTAACTTCAAGAATTTTCTTGTTACATGAAAAGTTGGAAAAAATGAAGAAAGATGGAAAAAACGAAACTCAATTTTTGTAAAAGTTTGTACAACAGTATAAAAGTCTGTATAAACACCTTTTATACATGATTATATACTTTTATGCAAGGTTGATATATTGTTTACAGTAAAGGTATAATATTGTAGACTGAGTTTATAAATATTATTGCAAAAAAAAAAAAAAAAAAAAAAAAAAAAAAAAAAAAAAAAAAAAAAAAAAAAAATTGGCTATGCAGTTTCTCTATGTAGGTTCTATGTATTGTGTTGGGCTATATACTTGTGCAAATATTCCTAAATCCTAAACATACGTCTCGATTCACGACATGGTAAAGTTAAAAAACAAATACTAGTGACTAGATGAATATTGTATATTCGTTAGTTACTTGATGTCAGTTATATAAAAACAAAAGGGAAAAGGGGGAGGGGGAGGAGAGAACTAGAGTCAAATTAAAATTTTCATATGAAGTGAAACTGGCCAATAATAAAGTATATAAATAGTACGAGTATAGCTGAACTTCAGCAATGTACCAATCACACTTTGATTACTAAATCGGATGGTGGATCAATACTCATTGCTTGATCAATATGATATTGGTATACCTTACAAACAAATCTTCCTGTTGCGTGGCCTGAAACAGCGACCAGGAAAAACCTAAAATCTGTGGTAATAATGAAGATGATGACCAAGTAAGTCATAAACATTCTAAGTCCATGAAATCCAGTTTCTTGTAATAAGACTTTTAGGCCTGATCTCTCTTCTTTCTTCATAGTAAAAGGGTATAAAGAACAGAATTCAGACATTAATGCAAGCAAGAAAAGCAGAGAAACAAGAAAGCAGAAGCACCATTTAGTTTCAGAATCAGGCAATCCTGGGAATTGTCTCTTTACATATGAAATCCAGTAGATTGAGCTTACAGAGTAATTGGTTGAGGACATGATAACTTTGTTTCTTGATTTCCTTTTCTCTTTTTGTGGAAAACTGTATATTGCTGTGGGAACTTACTGAGAAATACTTGCCTTATGAAGTATAGTTAAGTAGAGCTTTATAATGTGAGTGGAGTAGTAATTTAAAAGCAAAGCAAGAGTTTCTCTAACAAACTACATGCATGATTGGCAATTATAGCCATCACACTCATGAAGAGTAACTTCTACTTCTGTAATCGCCCTAATTAAAGGGCTTATTGCCATCATTCTCTCCACTCTTTTCCGTTACGAATTCCTGAGTTAAGCTTCAGCTAGTTTCTCACCGGTTAAAGATTAAATTTACCGGTATGCACCTTTTATATACAGATAATTGTCCTTACTTGAACAATGAAAAAACATCATATGATCTTAGTTATATAATTTGAAAGTAGGAGTACTAGGCGTTATGGAAGGTAACAAAACAAATCTTGGCGAGATAAATCAGACTACACCAGAAAAATATATCAAAAGATAATAACAATCGAATTAGTCTGTAAAGGCTACAAACAGAAATGTATGTTGTGGAGGAGTGCCCATGACAAGCCTATTGGGGTCAACCAACCCAAATATACTCTTAACATGATATGATATTATTCGCTTTGGGCCAAGTTCGTATGGTTTTCCCAAGAGACTTCACACTACTAAGAGATGCCTATACTTTATATGTAGGCTCTTAATCTTTTCGGCTACCAATATGAGACTTTATTCGCACATCCAACAATCTCCCCCTCGAACTATATAGGTTCTTCGTGGCCTATTACCACAATCCACGGGTCATTTTCCGGAATTAACTGGGTGCCACCTATATTGTTAGAGTATTATGACAACCGAAGCCCCTATAGCTTCTTCTTGTACGCGCGTCTCCAAGCTCGTAAAGGTAAGCAAACTAAGCCCCGCACCAACACTCACTCCATCGCTAAACTCATCCCGGAACCTGGGTTCTACTACTAATTATTGAGTTCAACCAGCTCGAAAATACTCTTAATATAGTGTGATATTGTCTGATTTGGGCCAAACTCGTACGATATTTCTCAAAAGGCCTCACACTGTTAAGAGATCCATGCATCTAATTTTTTCAGCTATCAATATAAGACTTTGTTCGCACACCCAACAAAGCCTATCAGGGGTCACACATGAATTTCACAAATACCAAAAACCTTGTGGTTTTTCTTCGAGTCATCATCAATCAATAGTGAAACTAGCAAGCGAAAGGAAAACACATAGTAAGTGCTAAAAAGTTCCCGTGGTCCAAAAGCCAATCTCAGCTAGAAGCTCAATGTCATAGTTAATTTCAAGGAAATTGTTGCGGAAGAAGCCACACAATCACAGACAAATCAAATAGGGAAGAAAAATCAGCATAAGAATTTAACGAGGTTCGGCTAAGCCTAATACTCGAGGCAGAAGCAGAGAAAGTTTTTTACTATGAATGAGAAGAAAAACATAATACAATCTATAGAATTCCTAACTACAACTCATATATATATATATATATATATATATATATCCAAAATATTTCCAAACCTATAAGAGAAAAGTTTTTCAATTTGACAAGGACAATAGCTTTTACTTTCCCAAATCTATTAGGACAATGGATTTTTCTTAAACTTATTGGAATTATGAGTTTCTTAAAAATACAAGAAAATAATTCAAGCCACAAAATAACAAAAATAAAGTATAACTTACATCCATTATATTAACGGGGAGAGTCCATCCGATTAGAACACATTCATCACACACGTTCCTATCCATCCATTTCCTGATGAGTTCATCCATACAAAATTGCAACTTTTATTCATATATTTGGCACATAAACATTTATTCGATATGCAAGCTTCAAATTTCTCTCAAATAGCCATAAACCAATCAAAAAAACTGGAAAATAAAAACAGAACAAACATTAATCTGTATGTTGATCCATCATTCTTTCTTTATCTTGTTTTTGGTAAAAACAATGCTTAATAAGTTAAATAATTACTTTCGTTCCAAAAATTACACAATTATCTGTCCATATCCTTTTTGAAAATGGGACTTCCAAAAATCACGTAACCAACTGCATGGCCCAAAATGGCTGCAATGAAAACTCCTCCATTATAGGACATAACAGCCAGCATTACCAAATAAGCAAAACCGGCTCGAATTGCTTGGACCCCGGCCTGGAAGAAAACCGCTGCAGCCCGGTTTGATCCAGGTTTTACCAACTTAAGATTTGCGAAGAACTCAACAAGAATAGCCAAAACAAAGACAAAGATCAAACCCAACGCGTACATTCCTCGGCTATTTCCAGGCCAACACGGGAAGAGAAAAACAGTGTCTCTGCCCCAGTAAAATGACAAGTGCCAAAGAGGAGATTTTGTACTGTGAATATGGCCTGAGTTGTTGTTTGTCCAGGCCATAGAAAATATTGACTTACAGGTTTCTGTTTGAGGGAAATAAGGACCACAATATATACTGGGGTTTAAAAAGGTGGAAATCAAAGAGGAAAACAGATGGAGTCTAGAAAAGAAAAACAAAACTAAAAGCAAATGGAGGAGACAAAGTGAGATATTATTTGTCCTTGTTGACTGAAAGGATCCCACGCTTCCACTTCGAGAATGTATTGCACGCCCTCCCCTTTGTTTTTTATCAGTTGAAATTACATGATTCCATTTTGCTTAATTTTATTCCAAGAAAGAGTATATTATATAAATCGTGGAAGCCTTGCATTAAGATAGTTTGTTTCCTCTCGGACGTTGCGTGAACGCGAAATATTTTGTACACCGATTAAATATGCATATGAACAAAACGGAAAAAGATTTAAAACTTTGGTAGTATGTCCCACAAACTGTTGAAAATAAGACTACCATCCATCTAAATTTCATTGTTTCCTTTGAAGTATATGATATGATAAGGTAAATTTATCTTCTGTAATTTCTGAAAACAGTGTTTATTGTATTGATATTCCTTAGTTTTTTTAAGGTTCAGTACCCCCTCTCTCTTTAAAGATTGTACCAGTAGCCAAGCTACCTTAAATTTCTAGAGTCCTTAAAGCTAGATGTAAAATAATGAATGGTTTCTCGTTCGTAGAAATAGCTCCTTTTTTTTTAATTGGTTGAAAATATTTGGCATGTCAAGGCAATTACAGGCGTAGGAAGGTGCAAGTGCACATCAGTAACTATAAGACTACTAAAATTTTATTTCGTGTACTAAAATATAGAGCTTTTAATAGTTGGATTGTTTTATGTTATTTACTTTATGATTTTTGGGGCGTGTGAATAACACACAAAAAAGCAAATGTGCTAAAAAGTAGTCGGTTGATTTGCATTTTCCTTTTAAGGGGAGAATCGAATGTGCAATTACTTGTTTTGAAGCAATCCTATTTCACCCGCTTTCGGTCTGGCAGTTGGTGGGCCACCAAGCACCTCTTTCGGTCAGCGAAACCAAAGTATAGGGTTCATTTGGACTAATAGTAGGGGTGTTTTTTAAAATCCGAAAAATCGAATCAAATCGAAAATCGAATCAAATCAACTAAAAAAATCGATACTTTTTCGGTTTTGTTTGATTTTGATTTTTGACTTTTAAAAACCGACCAAATTTGATTTGATTTTGGTTTTAATAAAAAAATAATCGAAAAAATCGAACCAAACCGAATATAAAAATAACTATTTAAATTTATTATTATACCTATATATATGTATATTTTTATAAAGAGTTTCTAAAATTTTATGCTACATTTTAATAGTTTGCACTTTTAGTCTAGTTCTTTGCTATTATAATAATCTAATTCTTTGCCTTTACATTCTAGTTTGATTAGTAGTTTTCTTTTGCTAAATATAAGAATTTATTTCATGTTAAAAATAATTAATTTTTAATTGAGTCCTAAAATTATTCATCACTATTTGATTCAATTATCATCAATATATCTTGGCAAAATGATAGATTTCTCACAGAGCAATCGGTTTGACAGTGTTATGTTAAAAATATAGTCGCCGAAATATGTGTTTGGTAGTGTATACCTCATATTTAAGAAAAACTAATAAATAACCGAAAAAATCGAAAAACTGACAAAAACCGACATACACCAAATCGATAAAAAAACCGACTTAATTGGTTTGGTTTGGTTCAAATATTTGAAAAACTCACTTAATTGGTTTGGTTTCTTTTTGGGGAAAAACCGATCCAAACCGAACCATGAACTTTAACAGCAGTTTTGTCTGTTAAGGTATAGTGCGATTATTTAAAATATGGCCCCACCAATAAGTCATTTGCACTTAACTGACGCATCAATAATCATATGGATATAACGTGTATTATGGATGCACTATACATCAAATAATTGTACCCCCCGGGCTGGATTTGTCCTTATTTAAGGAGTTTCAGAATTTGGTAAAATCCATTCAGCATCCTTTAAGTCTTTCAAAATATTTGTTCGTTAAGTTATTTTGTATTTTGTCATAGTGTCCGAAGAGCAAAAAATTAGGATTTCATTATATTGGGGGGGAGGGAGGGGGGANATGAGTATGAGCAAACGTTCGGTGAATATTAAAGTAATTAGGAGATATCTGTATTCTGTTACTCCTCAAGGGGTTGCTTGTTATGCTAAATTTAACATCGAAGATGATGAAACTCTGGCAGATTTTTTGAGGACTCCAGATGAACACCGAGAATTTCTTGTGATAAAAATATTGAAAATGTATGTCAAGGCTAAAGACGTTCGCAATAATGAGGTTCCGCAAAGCAGGGATATCCCTCATTCATCGGGTGGTTATTTTGGAGCAGTTTTAGCCGAACAGGTTGCAGGTGAAAGAATTTGGCCTGATCTAAACTTATCTTCACGGGCGAATGAGGAGCGAGTATATACTTTCTCCCCAAGTTTACATAATTCACAAGCAGAGTGGTAAACTTCAATTTTCCTTTGTGTTATGATGTTTATTTTTATGTATTGAATTTGTATTAATACTCATATATTCCACATGGGGTACCAGCCATATATGAATTTTACAAGTTATGAACCAACTGACAGTTGGAATATGCCTAGTTTTTGTGTGTTGGATCATGGTGGTCCATCTGGGAGTTATCACCAACAGGATAATGTGCATCATGGGATATTAACACATTATGATTTGTAAGTGAAGTGATAAAGTTTATATGTAAATTTTGGATGAATTTGAGAAACACATTATTTTATTGGTTGTGCAGTGAAAACGAGCAACTTGAAGGTCCTGTCCTTACTCAATTGCCCGAAAATGACATATTTAATTGGGATATGGTAGATGCGCAAAGTCAGGAAGATGATAGTGATTATGACAATAATGCTGACTAGTTTGGAGATGACACACCCTTCTCTGATGAGGGTGACGATGATGAGGACGGGAATGATGAACCTGATTTGACGAGGGAGCATACTCCACCCCCCGTTAGACCAAGAGTGTACGAGTCCCATGTGCCATTTCATTCAAGGGATATCCCCTACCTTGATCAGTTGCCAAGAATGCCGGATGTCCATGCCCTCACACGGGATCTTGACACAATTCGGACAGCAATGTGGGATGAACCTAGAGCAACGGTGCTGTCAAAGGGCATGCTTTTTGCTGATAAAGCGCGCCTAAGCAGGGCGGTGTGAATGTATAGCATAAAATAGTGTCGTGAGATCGTGGTTCATGAGTCATCTCCGGAAGTATACATGGTTATTTGTCATAGATGGTTTCAAGGTTCTAACTGGATGCTACGTGCGAGAAAGTTGAAAACAAATATGTGGATTGTGGGGAAATACATAGGCACCCACAATTGTGAAATGGACACATTCACTGGGAATCATTTTAACTTGAATGTTGACTTGATTTCTCTTGTCTTGATTCCACACATTGAAGCGCCCATAAGGTACAAGATCAAAGAATGTATAACATTTCTCCATCAGGTATATTGGATGTACCATTATCAAAAGAAAGGCATTTCTCGGGCGTAAACGTGCGTTGAAATTGTTTATGTTAACCGGGATAATTCATTTGCTTCTCTATCCAGGTACATGGCTGCATTGTAGCACTTTAACCCCGGGACTGTTGTTGAACAGAAGCTTGAGCGGAGTCCGGGAATACTAGAATACATATTTAGATATGTGTTTTGGGCATTTAAACCAGCCATTGATGGTTTTTTGCATTGTCGGCCAGTAATATCCATAGACGACACTCATGTCTATGGAAAGTATAATATTAAGTTGTTGATCGCCATTGCAATAAATGCTAATTGAAGTATATTTAACCTAGCATTTTCTATTTGTGGAAATGAAAGCCAAGAGACGTGGATATTATTTTTGAACCACTTGAAGGAGCACGTTGTCAACCAAAGTTCAGGTATTTGTCCAATATCTGATCGGCATGGTGGTATTTTAAGTTCTGTACCAAATTTGCGTGCATGTCAGGAACCGTATGCCAACCACTGTAACTGTGTTAGGCACTTGAAGGCCAACTTCCAGAGGTCTTATCCGAACAAGGACATGCATGATTTAATGTGGATGGCTGCAACAGATCACCAAGAGTATAAATTCAGGAGGCGAATGAAGTTGATTAGGCAGGAAGAACCAGAAGCCTATCATTGGTTGATGCGACATGAGCTTGAAAAGTGGACTTTGCATGCAGATGATGGTAGAATATGGGGAATTCTGACTAAAAATATGTCATCTTTCAATGGGTTTTTGAAGTCTGCACGTAGCCAGTCACTACCATGGTGAGGATGTCATTCAAGCAGATGGCAGAGAGGTTTGTTGAAAGATCTAGAGGTGCATTGTTATTGATGAAAAGGGGTGTTGAATTTATGCCACAGCTAATGAAACGATTTGAGAAATATAGGAAGCGGGCACAGTGGCATTCATTTTTGCTGTATTGCAGCGAGCGAAATATTTTTGAAGTTTGCGCTAGTCTGCATCACAACTTTAGGAATAATACACACACCATCAATGAAGCCAAAAGATTATTCTCCTGTGGGAAAAGGTCAATCTATCACTTGCCATGCTCACATGCCATGAAGTGATTTTGTGATGACCTAAAAGGTCATCTTGTATTTTAGAACTCGAATATGCGCTCTTAAGCCTTAAAAATCTCATTTTTACCCTTCTCAATTTGTGTGCGCAATCCGGGCAGGTTTTCGGAAAGCTTTTATGTTGAAAACTAATGAAAATAAGAATTTTTGCCTTAAAAGTTAATTTTAGTTAACTTCGATCAATATTTTTGGTAAACGGGCCCGGATCCGTGCTTTGATGGTCCCAGTGGGCCCGTATCGAATTATAGGACCTGAGCGTATGCCCGGAATCGAATTCGGAGGTCCCTAACTCAAGTTAAGAATTTTTGATGAAAATTAAAAGTTTGAAAATTATTTATTTTTAAGAATTGATTGATATTTGACATTGTTAGTATCGGGTCTGTATTCTGATTCCGGATCCCGGTACAGGTTCATTATGATATTTAAGACCTGTTTGAGAAA